TCATTGTGTGTGTCTGTGTGTGTGTGCGCGTGTATGTATGTGTGTGCACTCGTTTCCACGCTTATGAGAATGTTTAAATGGAATGGGGAAAATACAGTTAGGCTTTAACGACGATCTTAGAAGGAGGAGAATTTATCAGAGTTTGCCAGAGTATTTGGACAGTTGACATCAAGCTTTTTTTTTGGTCAATTATGACAAAACCAAACTAGACTAAAATATTTTGATATGCTGTAGCCGAGAAAGCTCAGGCAAAACCAAAAATATTAAAGGCTGAATTCCTTTAAGTTTTGACTATTTTAGGGCCCTTGCACTCACCTCTGGTCTGCTTTTGTTAGGCTGCAAGTGAGCCATCATTGATGTTAATATGTGAGCTGCACAGGCTTAACAAATAAGTTTTCAGTTAAACGTTAACAGTGATTCGTCAACGTTTGTGACCTTACAGTGAGTCTGCTCACGACTTTAGTCACACAGGTGGTGTGCAGATCCATCTGTATCCTGTTGCAAGTCCATATTTTTTTTATTCTTGGACTTTTACTGACTTTATTATTCAACTTAAAACAATTCTGTCCGGTCCCCCTCCTTTAACCTCCTAGGACCTGGCTTCCACATATGTGGACAACACATTTTGGGTTATTTAGACTAAAATACTCAATTTTGCTCTACAAGGGCCTGATATCCACTTATGAGGACATACTGCTACTGTTCTATCAAAATTGCTCTTTTCTTAAAAACAAAAATAAGGTTAAAAAAAAACAAAATCTGGTAATTCTTTGTTTTTACATTCATCGGGCCCCAATATGCCCAAATATCAAAGAGAAATTAAAAATGCATGTCGTGGAAGAGTTCGGGTCTTAGGGGGTAGCTTTTTTTCCTGATTGGCTGCCCCTCACAAACAGAAGGTTTGAACAGGAAATGGCTAGAGCTTCTATGCTCATCCAGAGTTTTGTGCATAAAATATTAACTTACATGAACCAGAGCTAAGAGCATGAGATTTTGGGTTGTGCATATGCTTACCTGGTTACTTTGAATTGGGTGTGTTTAGTAAAAAATATTATGGAAAAAATATACACTTTAAATTTCATCTCCACTTTCTTTGCTCATAATTAACCTTAAAAATTAGATATTTCTCATGTTTTGCTTAATTGCAGATGGCAACAACAAGCCAAGACAGGGACTGCTAGTAGCAAGTTACGATGGATCTAAACAGTGCGTAAGATGATTTTAGAAATATCCACTTTCACAAAGCAACTTTAATTAACATGGTCCAAATTTTATAATTAATGCAGTTTCAAAGAATATTTTTCTCGACGTTAAGTATAAACTTACCTGTGAGTTGTTCAATTTTTGAACCCTTACCTAGAATAATAAAGACCGGAAGATCTAGTTTTGGTTTCTCAGTTTTCCAGTTTCTGTCACACCACATATAATCTGTATTTCTCCTTGGCTGATGTCAGCTGTTGGATAAATCAGCTGTTTGATCACTTTAGGGCACAGATTAACTTTGGAAAAAGCACCAAATGCATATAAGAGAATAATGATTCCCTATACTTTAAGTAGCTTTCCTGCATTTGAATTCTTTTAAAAGTCCTATTGTGTTCAGCAGTCAGGTTCTCCAAATACTTTGGCAAATGTGTGAAATGTGTTAAGAGTGTACCCGAGTGAACCGAGGAGCTGAAAAGATTTGTGAAAGGCTTAAAACAGATGTTTAAAGAGGATAATTTAAAAACCACAATCTTTAACAGCAACACTATATATGCAGTTTTACAAATGAAAGAAATATGCATGTCTACTTTCTGGTAATTTTTCACTGTTTACTTGATAAAGAAATGGAAACCTATGTTATTTGCATCCTCAAGGTTATGAAAAGGCTGAGATGTTAAAATCAAGTGATGTTAAATCGCTTTAAAATGCTTAAAAGATTAGCAAAAGCCTTAGCTTTTATGTGCCCCTTGAAAGTGAATTTATTGCATTGTAACCTTACAATAAAAAAAAAAAAAGAGAAAAAAAAAAGGGGGGGAAACATATGTCAGTTTCAATTGGATGCTGGATTTTTGCATGACCATACAGTTAATAAACATACATTAAAAAAAAGTGTGTTTTTTTTTATTCAAAGCTTTACTGTTAATGTAAAAGTTTTTGCAATATAAACAATGTTAATATATAACTGGAGAAAACTGTGCCTGCAATGAGATTAAAGCAAGTTACTTACATTGGTTAAAATGTGTTCATTACCCAACCCACTCTAAGGTCTATTGGTAGTTAAAGGTAACATGAAATTACACAGAATATATTGGTTCATCCATTTCTGTACCATCCATCCCTTTATTCAGCCTACATCGCCTCCCATGTGCCTATTAGGGAACAAAGTCCAGTCTTCATGCATATTTTAAAGTTAAATGGGCCCTGGGAGACAAACACAATGTTCTATTTTCAGAGGAAATTAGAGGCTTTTTTTTAATGATCAGTATAAGTAAGAAGGGATCATTTGCAAGCACGCTGCAGAACATTTTAACTGCTGCTTGCAGCAGAAAATACGCAACTTGCCTTTAAGAACCATACCTCTGACTCCTGGTCATCCTTCTCCCATCAGTGAGCCTGGATGAGGTTCGATTCCATCGCTGACTTGATGGTTTGAAGTTGGCTGAATGTGAAGACGTTAATATCTCTCCTCTATACAAAGGCAGCCCTTCCTTTCTCGTCATTTTATCCATTAATGGATATTTTATAACAAAGTCTGTTATATAATTATTCCCTTCATGCCTACATCATGATGGTAAAATTTATTGCAGCACTTCAGTACTAGACTGCATTAACTTTTAACTATGCGTATCTACTAAAGTTACAAATTAACATTACACTACACCAGCTATTGCACTGGCTATTTTATACATATTTGGGGTATTTAAATCTGACTGTGTAAAGTTACTCACACACCAATTCTGCTTAAATGTAATAACTCAGAAATCAAGAGTAATTCAGCAGTAAGATAAACAACCAAGTACTGCAAGAACTACATTTGAGTTGCTGTGTTTCACCTTTGAAAAAGGAAAGGACCACAAACAGTAGCTCAAATAGAACTCCAACACGATTCGCACTGCAGCGCTGTTGTATTAGACTACACTCTCATAACAGAGTACCCCGACTATATATACACATGCACACACAAACCAAGAGCGCACACAGGTAGTCTTGATGAATTTTAATTACATCAAATGAATTCATGTAAAAGTGGAAAAGGAGGAAAACACTGGGTCTCATCACTGCCAACATGTTCAACACAACAGAAGTCTGCACATGCTCCGTTTGCACTGGGCAGGTTGCAGGTCACCTATACTTCAGACAGATTTATTAAACGCTTCCTTACGGAGTGTCTTTTTAGAATGTAAAGACTGTGCTTTTACAGTTATTCTCTGGATTAGAGCAGCAATGGAAGTGATAAATGAGATGCTTCAGTGCCATTTGGTGAAATGAAAATGAAGGGTGAAGATGAACTACATGTAGGGTTTTTCTCAGGGTGTGTCTCTGCCTTATAGGTGACCTGAAACACTCCCATGATAAGTCCCTACTTCTCTCTCACACTACCTTCACTCAATCAAGCTGTCATGGCTTCATGGCTTCCTGTCCGAGTCCATTTGGCATCCTGGCATGTTTCCATTGAACACTGTTCTCTTTGATTGGATAAAGGAAGCGGGATGATTGACTGATTGCTCCATGCAGATTGTGATTCTTCGGACATGCTTCATGTTGTCTTTGTTTGTGCGTTCTGCCCAGTTACAAAATGTTTTATGACCATGGCACTGGGCAGAAGAAGGTCTGTCTCACTGGTTCAAGGTTGCCCTGTTGGCTGTTGTGTGAACACTGGCACTTTAATTTTAGTCCACAGAGACTAGTGCATGTCTAACTGTCCGTCACACTGAAGGACACGTGGCAGTGCAATCTGCCATCGGAGTCTTAGTGGAAAGAAAACAAATAAAAACTGTCACTGTAACATTTTCTAATAATTTTAAGTTGTTTCCTTGATTCAAGGAAGAAAGAAGAAAACAGAGAAGGAAGCCACTTTTCTCTACTGAAGTGTCCTGGGTTAAAAAAAAA